CGCACGCACGCACACATATACACACACAGACACACATGTACATACACACACACATACACATACACATACACATACACATAATATCCTAAACACACTAACAATATAATTCCCGATCGTGAAATGTGATGTGCTGTGATGTGACGTGATGCGATGCGAAGTAATGCAATGCTGCAATGCGATGCGACGTGATGTGTCATATCATGTCGTGTTGTGTCGTGTCGTGACGTGACATGACGTGACGTGACGTGATGTGGCGTGGCGTGGTGTGGCTCTAATAATATGGCTTTAGTAAAATATAAAAAGATAAACTGTCGAAATGTTCATGTTCTCAGAACCGAGCAAGCAGTCGACATCAACATGGCGATCCACGTCCCAGGCCTCATATCCATCATCATCTTCTACCTTATTATCCTGGCCATTGGAATCTTTGCCGCCAGGAAGACAGGATTTCGGGCCACTAACCTCAAGATCAATGATGTTATGCTGGCGAATAGGTCTATAGGCATTCTGGTGGGATGTTTTACAATGACAGGTGAGTGTTCCATAGCAGTTGCATGATTTGTTTTAAGTTGCAGTTTTGAGCTTTTTGGGGGGGAGTTTTCTTAATACTTTCGCTGGAAGTTGAGGTACTAGTAGTAGCTTTGTTCGTCTTGTTTTCGTGTATTTTGTTTCTTTATTTTTGCTGTTTCTTTTTGTTGTTTGTTTGTTTGTTTGTTTGTTTATTTGTTTGTTTTGGGTTCGGGCTTTTGATTTGTTTTTTTATGTTGTTGGGGTTTTTTTGTTTCGTTTAGTTTTGTTTTGCTCTTTTGGGTAGAGGTGTTGTTTTTTGTGTTTTGTTTTTTCTTGGGGTCTTTATTTTCAAGTTATGGGTTTAATTGAGACTAAAATAGATGTTGTAAAATTATAGTATGTGCTACGAGAATATTTATGCCCTTGTTTTTTGTTTCCATAGCAACGTGGGTGGGCGGTGGATACATCAACGGGAGCACTGAGGCTACATATGCTTCGGGACTGGTGTGGTGTCAAGCGCCAGTAGGATACAGCCTTGGACTTGCCTTCAGTAAAATTATTTTACAAATTACAATGATTTCCATTGTGCTAATGTTGTTGTTGCTGTTGTTGTTGTTGTTGTTGTTGTTTGTTGCTGTTGTTGCTGCTGCTGTTGTTACTAATGCTGATGCTGCTGTCAGTAGTGGTG